TCCTCTTTCCCTTTCCCCTCCTCTTCTCTAGAAAATGAAACCATTCAGATGACGGTGGTAGATGGAGAGAAAATATTCCCAGTCCTGATTCATCCAGTGAAATATTTGCCCACCTTGATGGCCAAAAATAGGGTCTACGAGATCGGTCTGAGGAATCTGCTGTGCCACCTCAACACTGTCCACAAGCCCATCCTGTGTGGCTTTGGTCTCTGGTCACTCCCCTTTCCCACCCTCTTGGAAGCGTTGAAGGTCATGAGCAAGGACGAGGAGTTCAGCACTGTTGTGTATGGCTTCCTGGACATTTTGCCCCTGGTTAGGGAGGAGAACCCTGAGAGGGATAACTACAAGCTGAACAACTTGGCCAGCACTTACCACTGGTGGCACTTTGGTGACAGCAGCGCCATGGAGAACGCCAACATCGTGAAGTACCTGTGCGAGGTCCTGGGTGTCAATCTGGTGAAGAAACCCAGGCTGATCCTCAGACAAACCAGCCTGGAGTCCTTCATCTCCCTTCAGCCTTTGGTGGATGAGAAGCTCCTCTCCAAGCCATCAGCCCAAACACTGGCCACCCAAAACATCAGCCTCACTAAGCTCTGGTTCATCTACCACCAGAAAGGCGAGAAGGGGCTCCAGGAATTGTGCTGTTGCATCAACACTCACAAGCACAGCTCCCAGAAGAGAGTCCGAAACCTGAGCAAGGTCAAGGTGTTCTTCCAGCGCCAGGAGCAGTTGGCTGAAAGCCAGGAGACCTCGGCAGGCAGCCATTTCCCAGGAGCCATAAAGAGCGAGGAAAAGTGTTGAAAGATGCTGGTGCCTCTCCAGTACTCATTCCCCTCTCACCCACGGGGAAGGAGTCCTGGAGCCAAACCCTGGCTCACATCAGTAGTTTTGCCTTCAATAGTGCCTGCCTCCTCCCGCCTGGGGTGATGAGTCTGGGTCTCTGGGGTGTGACAGTCTCTTCCTGTCCTCTCTCATCTGAACTTGTGCTAAGGTGAAGAGGTGAGGACACCAGCTTGGCTGGGAGATGTCCTGGCTCTGATCCAGCACCCTGCAGCCACGCCGTGCCTTTGTTTCCCCCCTGGGTGGATCAAGCCAACTCCTGGGAGAAATCTTTCCAATCACTTCTGGTCTGGGGCTTGGGGGGGGCAGGTCGCTGGGATCTGAAGCCAGCTGGAGAAACAGCAGGTGGGGAAACTGGTCTGGAAGGACCAAGGATGGTGGTCATTGCTAGGAAGGAGTTTGGGCAGAGCTGCTCTGTTCCCGTGAGCTGCTGTGTGGGACACGGCTGTGGGAAGAACTGGAAATCCTCCTTCAGTCAGCAGGATCCGACCCCTCTAGCCTGGGACATGAACCTCCAAAGTGGGCACACAGGGGTATGGTTTTCCGACCTCTCCCCCCGCTTTCCAAGCTCAAAGACAGCCAGGGAATTGCTTGATCGGTGAATGCACCTCATTGCTCTTTGGCTCCTGGCCTACAGATGCAGAAGAAATAAATCATGTTCCTGATTTGTTGTGCACTGCAAATGGCTTCCTTTCGCTCCCCGTTCCCCCAATACCCACCTGCTCAAAAAGGCAGATGTGCAGGGTGGTGGGTGCTGCGGCGATGGGTGCTTTGCAGCGTGATGCCCCCTTGAGCCCACGACAGAGCTGAGCTGAGCCTGGTGAGCACGGTAGGACACACTTACCTGAGGCATGCAGCTATCCCCAGGATGGGCGTTGGCTTGTGTCGGCAACTGAGCACCACCCAGCCGCTCGCTCACTCCTCCTCCCGGCTCCCGGTGGGATGGGGGAGAGAATTGGAAGAGTAGAAGTGAGACAAACTTGTGGGTTGAGATAAAAACAGTTTAATAATTGAAATATAATAATAACAACAACAATAATAATAATGTAACAATAATAATACACAGAGCAAGTGATGCACAGTGCAATTGCTCACCACCCGCCGACCGATGCCCAGCCAGTCCCCGAGCAGCGGCCCCCCCCTGGCCAGCGTTCCCCCATTTTATCCCTTTGGCCAGTTTGGGTCAGACAGTTTGGCTGTGCCCCCTCCCAGCTTCTTGTGCCCCTCCAGCCTTCTCAGTCGGTAGAGCGTGGGAAGCTGAAAAGTCCTTGACTAGTGTAAGCACTGCTCAGCAACAACTAAACCATCGGAGTGTTATCAGCATTGTTCTGGTCCTAAATCCAAAACACAGCGCTGTACCAGCTACTAGGAAGGAAATTAACTCTATCCCTGCCGAAACCAGGACAGCTTGAAGCCAAGCAAGAGAGCACCGAGAGGTCCTGTTTGCTCAGGGAGGTGCCGAGAAAGCCTGTCAGCCTGCTCCCCGGGGGAACAACCCAAGTCATTTCCCTGCAGACGGTGCACAGCTGCCCCGCCCGCCGGCAGCTATCCAGTTTGGATCATGCCAAAACAGCCTGATTCGGCCACGGCTATTGCCCCCAAACTCGTGGGCATCTCACCCGGTCCTCACCTGCGTGTGCGAGCAAAGCAATGAGCGCACCAACGCTCACCCAGAGGCAGGGGCAAAGCGCTGTCCCTAAAACCCCATACAAGGACTCCTGTCCAAAGCCGTGGCCCTCCCTGGTGTCACTTCAATACACAGACCGCTTTTCCTCCTGATTTATAGCCTCTAACCAGGCACGAGGAAGCTTGCAGAGGGATTCAGCTGGGTCAACCTGCGCCGGTCCCCTCCCTCCGGGGACCACGGAGGGCACAACCTGCTGCTGAATCATCCCAGGAAGGGATGGGCTGCCCAGACACCATGGGGACTGTTTTGCCCCAGGTCTAATAATTCTAATAATTATTAGAAAGAATTATTATTTCTAATACCTAATAGCTCTAATATTATTCCTGATAAGGATTATTCTGTTCATTGTTTTACTACCACTGTTTTGCTACCACTCATCTCAACACCAGTCCTGCCCGGGAAGACGGTGGCTCCAGGGAACAAGTCCGTTCAGGAAACTGTTCCACAGCCACATGCGCACAAGCATTTTCCTCCCGTTTGCTAAAATCCCGGGAAGAACAAGGAAAGACAAGGAAACACGGGTGGCCGCGCCGGCGCGGACGCCACCGTGTGGAGTCTGGTCCCGCAGGCGCAGGGACGCGGTTCAGGGCAACCGATGGGGATCTCCTCCAAAATCCCCCCTTGTCCTTTCATTCTTCCACTTGATTCAAGTTTAAATTTCCCCTTCTTCCTCCAAAAAATCAACTTTTGCTCAGTAGCAAAGAGCCAGCCACGAGCCCCTCATGTCCTGGCAATCCCCAATTGCCCTTGGGGACTGGGGATAGGGATCATCACCACCTTGAAGGAGCTGGGGACAGGGACAAGTTTGGGCACCTGAAGAGTGGGTTTGCCTTGGGAAAGCGTCACGCCCCACGCCATCCCCCAGCGACCCTGCGGCAGAAGGGCCCCGTGATCTGGAGGTGGGGCAGACGGTCTGAAGGTGGGACACATCTCTCTGCATCTTACAGAGCTGGTTGTCACCAAAAAACAGGGGGGGAAACTGCAGTTGGCTGCCCAGCAAACTCAGCCTCTCTCCTGCGGGCAAGGGACCCAATCCAGCACCTCATCAGCTCATTAGAGCCCACCACAATGGGTTCCCCAGGGAATTGGGTGCTCTCAGCTGTTGCCAGTTGCCCTTAGGTGTGCTGAGCATCACCTGGGGTGGGAGTGGCTGTGGGAGGTGTGGGCTGTAAAAGGTCCCTGGGCAGCAGCAGCTCCTTGTGCTGGACCCTGGTAGGCAGGATGAGGCCTGGAAGCCGCCTGGGGTTTGCTCTTTTCTGCTGGGTTTTTGGGGAGGTGGTTGCTTACAACCCCTGGGGCTTCCCTAGAGGGGAGGCAGAGCCATGGAGGTACGGAGGGGATCCTTCCTCGGGGCAGCCCCGTGCCTTCTCCCAGTCCTCTCCCTGGGCATGGGTGGATGTCTCCCAGCTCCAGGCTGCTGCCCTGCCGCACCCCGTGGCCGTGCAATGCCAGGAGGCGCAGGTGGTGGTCACGGTGCACAGGGACCTCTTTGGCACGGGGCGCCTGGTCAAGGCTGCAGAGCTGACCCTGGGCTCGGCTGCCTGCTTGCCTGCCGTCTGGAGTGCTGCTGAGAGCACGGTCACCTTCGTGGCTGGGCTGCATGAGTGTGGCAGCACCCTCAGGGTAAGGCCGGGGGGGGAGCTGGAGCCCTAGGGTGGGGGTCTGCCTCTTGGCTTGCACCTCGGTGCCTTGGGATGCTGAGACTGGCAGGGGGCTGTGGCGGGGGTGGGCTCGGGGAAATGCTCCAAAGCCTTTCCTAGAGGCTGAGTATCTCAGCCTGCTTTTCAAGGGCAGCAGAAGGTGTTCTGTCTGGTCCAGGGGCTAGCTCTGGTGTTGCGTGAGCAGGGAAGGGCATGCAAGAGGCAGAGAAATTATTTTTCTTTCCTGATGAATACAGAGGTATCTAAGTATCCCAGGACCATTTATGCTGTTGCTGCCACCTCCAGGGTGGAGCCCAGATGACCTGGTGCCGGGAGCCACTGCAGCAAGCCAGCAGCGGATGCCTACCTTAGGAGGCATCTGGGTGCTGCTTGGGTGTAGCATGAAGCTGCTTCACAGAAAACTTAAACTGGAAGTGGTCCTTCTCCCCTGGGAGAGGCTTGGGGCAGCCAGGGTGAGCAGGCACCCCTTCCCCCTGCCCCCATACTCCAGCCAGCAGGTGTCTTCATTAAATACCCCCGAGCAGAAGTCACCCTCTGGTGTTCTGGGGGACAGACCTTTCTGCCTGTTGTTTTGGGGCGTGGAAACTAGGGAAAAAACAACTGGCTTGAGCACTTCTGCATCCAGCTCTGCTGCTGACCAGAGCATCTTCCCAGCCCAGAGCATCCCTGCAGCAGGACGAGTGCCGCTCACCTGCCTCCAGCACAAATGCTACTGGCTGATGATGAGAAGAAACATCTCAGCACTGAGTCTCCGGGCTTAAACGTGTTGCTCTGTGTGTGTGGCCAAGGAACAGGGCTCTTGATGACTGGCTGATGTGTCTTGTCTTTTCCCCAGGTGACCCCTGATGCTCTAGTCTACAGCACGAGCTTAAATTACGAGCCAGTTCCTGCTGGCAACCCTGTCATCATCCGCACCAGCCCTGCCGTGGTTCCTATCGAGTGCCACTACCCAAGGTGAGCCAATGTGGGTGAGTACCAAGCAAGCCCGTCTGCTGCTACAGAGCTTTTAACTATGGGCCTCTCTTCCCCAGGAGGGACAACGTGAGCAGCAATGCTGTCAAGCCCACGTGGGTGCCTTTCCGCTCCACCCTGTCCTCTGAGGAGAAGCTACCCTTCTCCCTGCGCCTCATGAATGGTAGGTTTTGGGTGAGGGTCTCGTCTGGTTCAGGGCACCCTGGGCTGGCTGCTGAGGTGGCCGTGCTTCCACTAGATAGCACAGCTGGTGCTGGTATCGCCCCAGTGCTCCTGGAGCAGATGGGGTTTGGTACAGTTTTGGTGAGTACCCAGGGCCTTGTACCTGTTGGGATTTCCTTAGGTGGAAGCAGTGAAGCACAAGCTGGCTTCCCATTCACGAGTGCCTGCTGACCTCTCTCCTTCCAGATGACTGGAGTGCCGAGAGAGTCTCCACCATATTTCAACTGGGAGAGGTCCTCCACTTCCAAGCTGGTGTCAACACAGAGAACCATGTACCTCTGAGGCTCTTTGTGGACAACTGTGTGGCTACCCTGACCCCAGACAGGAGCTCTTCTCCTCAGTACGCTTTCATTGACTTCAGTGGGTAAGAGCTGGTTGTTCCCTTATTTAGAAGCACCTTTCTGCAGGTTATGGGTATC